AGATCTCGTTTCCCTCCAGAAGTTGTCCTCCCCGCTTTCCTTCCTCGAAAATTGTACAACTCTGTCGATGGTAATAGCTATCGCGGGGTATCACATGCATTTGCATACGAGTATTTGCGTATTCTGTCCCAGATAGCACAGAGGTGAATAGAAATTCATAGAGAGTGAAAATGAAAATGATATTTCGATATGATAAAAAGACACGCGGCACCATGGACGTATCATTGAATCGTGAGAATATGATTAAACCGGGCTCATTCTGCAAATTGCTATTATATAACCTAAGAAAAATATGACTACGTACAATTCTTCCTTTGTTCCATATGATTCTTACGCGATTTTGGATTCCTTTTTTCTTTTATGCGGTGGAAAGCTGAAAGTATTTTAATTATGTTACGTATACATGTTATACATAACACATGTCGTACGTAACAGTTATATTTCTGAGCGGTAAATTTTAATATTGATGTAACGTTACTCTTGGAGTTGGTGTTTATTGGATGTTTTGAACTCCTATTCTGTTCATAAAAAACTATTCCTCTGGAATTCATAAAGTATATATATATATGTTGGTAGAAAGTAATTCCATATAAATGCTCCAAGAAGGAATCTCAGAAATCTCAGGAATTCCAGTAATGGTGAATGTAATTTCCTGGATCATTTTTACAGCACTCTTCTATATGAATTTTTAAAGAATCACAATTCAAGAAGGGAGAAAACTTTAGGAATACTCGAAAAATTCGTCGTGCTATCCGGGTACATTTCGACAATTCGAATCTTGAGAGAAAATCCCCACGTAAAAGCACAAGCAAGCTCATTATGTTTCCTGCTTCTTAAGATAAATACACCGGCGAATGCGTCGTGAAAGAACGCGGGTCGCAGACTCTACGAATATATCAATTTTTTAGACAAACACTCATCCCGCGGAGATGTTTACGGACCGCGTGCGTAAATACGCGGCATCGCGAGAAGATGAGCTGGAAATTGTCCAACCCGGTCTCGTGCCAGCCGAAGAAATCTCTTTAATTTAGTCTTAACGGCGAAACAGGAATCGCGACGTCCGCGTATTTTATGCTAGAGTACGCGCGAACGGTTCAATAATCCATTTCCATTCGTCACCATGTCGATACCCCTTTTTCTCACCATTGATCCTCTCTATCTCTCAAGATAATAGCAATTTATCACCAAGGCCCCGCGCCATCACGACTGTCAGATTCGCGCCTCGGCGATGTTTCTTTCTTCTTCGGCGGCGTTACACCGTCCCGTGACGGGACGTTAAACCGCAAAGCTGTCACGACGTCCGTGAGAGATGCAATTTACGATTTAACTCGCGATCTGTTTGCCGTTTCCAGTATACACGTGTTAATCCTCCTTACATTTTCACGACTTTCATTATTCATTTCAGGTAACATCGGGTGATCATAAATTCGTTTCCCATTATTTCTCTTCCTAACAAGATTTCCTCTATTATTTCTTCTCCTAACAGTATTTCTCTTGTTTCGGCGATTCTTTTTTAATCCGGCTATTAATTAAACATACTTTCGCATACGTACTCAATAACGAGAAAGAAAATGAATTTTTATGCACGGACGTGTAAAGAACGGTTCTGTCATGAACGAAAGAGAGCGTGTCGTTTCTCAGTTCCTCGGTTTAAGTTTATCACGATGTTTATGACTGCGGCACCTCTGGATCACTAATAAAAAGTAACACGCGTGAAACCGTATTCCAAAAGTATTGCTTTCTGTTTTATACTTCTAGGTCGATTCGCTTCCGAGTTACTGCTCCTTAAAGATCCAGCATGCTCGTTATTAGCAAACGCTGCACTCTGTCGTGTTGGACGAGGCGTGCACGTGTTCTGGTCATTTAAAATCTCAGCGCGCATGCGCGACTAATCAACGACCGCGTGATCGAGCGATCAGGACTGCGTTCCGATATTCATTGCCATATTGAAAATCTATGATATACATAACGTGAAATTCAGATTTTCAGTGCTGCCGGTGAATATCAGAACTCAGCTGTCAATGCGAAGGAAGCGGGCACAGGACTCGCATTTTCAACGTTTCCTGATACGTTAATATTCGTCCTCGCGTTTCGGAATTCAGCAGGTATTGCTGATGCAACCAATTTGTAATCGCAATGGCCTTATTTCGTTAATTGGTATTTCCAAGTGAAACAATTGTAAGAGCAATTTGCTAATGTCTCGCCTTTTCGATTCCTATTTCTGTACTTTGCTCTGTTTTTCCTTTTTCCTCTACTTATGTATATGCTAGGATGAATAAAGCCAATTATTATTATTATTGCTGACCCCGTTTTAGCATTGTTGAGTTATTTAATTGGAAGCATAGCTCAATGTAATCATCGATATATTCACTCTTAATAAAGAAAGAGAGAAACAGTGAAAGTCAAAGCTGTTCAAAGTCATTTGAAATAAAATAAACGCCGTTTATCCTTCACACTGATAGACGCGAAGTCATTCTTCCGCAAAATAAGGGAATTATTTAGTAAGAATTAGATTATCGTGATAAAAATATCGATCTGTCTTCAAGTTGAAGCGTAAATTAAACCTATTGTGAGAATTGACGAACATCCTGAATTTGGATTAGTAATATTGCAAAATGTCATATTCTATTTTACTGAAGATATGGCACAAAAATAAATATAATTATAATAGACTCTCAGATATACAATCGAAATAAATAAAGCCTATAAAAGATAAAACAAGACGTAAATTGCGAACATTTTATATATAATTGTCAAATCCTATTTCCAATTTTCCAATAAATTTATCTGAACGTTTCGGTCGACCTTTTCAACTCTCTTCAACAGGAAACGCTAAGTTGTTACAAAAAAGTTGTAGTATTTTTATTTGATATCTCTGAAAATTTGTATTTAATTTGTTTCACAAAATCGTACAGAAAGAAGATCAATCCAAAAATGATATATATTGATATCCATAAATTTTGAATTCCATAAAATATCAGTCACTTTATAGAGCATCTTTTTCTTTGACCTAGAAAATTATGGGTTCCACGTTAACGCTGACTTATTGATATCAAGTTATCATTACAGTTTTCGTGATTCTCATCCATTAATAAAACGAAGAGGATAAAATGATATCATTATGTAAATTAGTGAGCCAGTGAGTGAAGAGACATTACGATCCCGTTATGAGTCGTCCATGGCAGAGGCACAATTAACGATATTCATTACGAACTAACAGTATGTACCCCACTAATTTGACAACTGATGCGAAAAGCAGAATATGTGTCAACCGCAGCGTAAAGCACAGCTGACATCTTAATTGGAGATGAATTATGATCGATGTAAGACTAGTACTTGCGCAACATCGATCGATTTCAAAGAGAATGTAGTATTTTCCGCACTTGGCTAAACCTGATATTTATCTGCGAACAATTTCACGCGTATATCGCATTTTATATATATAAAAATATAAAACTTTCATTTAACATACACGCTCATAAATTTCTGCGATTTCTGTAATTAAATATGAACATTCCTAAAAAAATATATTTTCCACTTACATATTTGTATAATACTGATTTATAGTACTGATTGTGTCATATTTCAATATGAATGCTTTGCAAATCGTAAATCACCCAGGTATATCTCATAGAGTGAAAAATTCGGAGCGGAAAAATGCTACTGTCATTACGGAAAATATTCATATCAGACGTATATTCATTCGCTGCTGAGCGGCGAGCGATACTCGTCTTATTTCATACGCAACAGGTTTTCGAGCTCTACAACCGTGTTTTAAGTGTTATATTTTCCTCCTTTCAGCGATTAATTTATCTTTTACGGGCGTAGAAATGAACGAACGTAAGGTTTAGCAAAGGCCATCGGTGATTGTCGAACGAAAGTTTACGCAGGCTGATTGTCCTCGTAAACAGAGATGTCGCGAAAGCCATGGATATGCATGACGCACGACGTTCGTTAAGCGGCAATCGTGTTCAGAATATCGTTGGATACGGTGACGCCGCAGAAGTGACGACAAAGCGTGCACCCTTTGAAAATGGGCTCCCACGTAATCCCATCCTGAAAACTTTCGTACTCGTATTTTTTTGTATCATCGACTCACCGACTTCTTGCGCGCACGATATCACTGTTTCGAGAGATCTCAATGGAATATCCGCAGCGTTCTCTTTAATTTAATTGCACCGAACTAAATTGTAAATATACCGTCAGTCTCCGATGCAATCTTTTCCTCTATTTCTTTCTTTTTTTTTTTTTGAAGAAAGGCATTCGAATCGTTGAACGGAAAGGGATGCACTAAGGGCCCAATTTCTCCCCGTCCAGAATGATTGGTCGACTTCCAACTTTCGAAAGCATCCTCTTTCGGAGAGACCCAATGAAATTGTAACAAGACGTGGAGTAGGTAGTACTCGTGTAAAAGTTGGATCGAGAAGTCCCTGCTTCCTCTCCCAACTCGCAGTCCTGCTCGCGGAAACCCCCGAGGTTTTTTCCACGTGCTTTCGAGTTCGCTCCAGCTCCATTCGCGTTGAATAATTGCTCGTTAAGGCGCGCTCCGGTCTCTTTCTCGCACTCGACTCACCGGACCGCCGCTCGAAGAACGCGTGATACTTCGCGCTTTCTTCACGACGGTAATGACGCCGCTCGTAATCGCTCACTTAGCTCGTGAAGTTTGAAGTCTTCGTCTTTTGCGCACTGCTCGATACACAAATAACACTTGACTTTTTATCCGGTTTCCCCGTCGCATTTTAATGATCCTAAATCTCCTCCGGACGAAAACGTCTCGATCTATAAAGGTACTCGAGTTTTAATCCCGTATCTCGATAATTAACGCGCGACATACACAGAAAATAATTCACTGAATTCTCCCTCCCTCTTTCTCTCTCTCTTTTTCTCACTTTTCGGCCAGATGAATTTAATTCTAGACTCTTATATCTGTAAGGAAGTATCAAGTATTTGATTTCGTAGCTATTCTCACGCGAAGCCTGCTTCCGCCTCTCTGCTTTCAGTGCGATTCCGGAGTGGCTGTTGACAGATTCTTTCACGCGCTGTATTCGACGAGGAAAAAACACCTGATGCCGTTCCTGCTTGGTACAGCTTGTTCCGAAGTTACCGAGACACTGGCTAAAATTGTGCCCTATTGGAACGTGATTCAAGTATCGTTTGGCTCGACGGCGCCGGCCCTCTCGGATTCCAATGAGTTTCCCCTGTTCCTACGTACCGTCGCCCCAGACTCGAGTCACAATCCAGCCAGGATAGCGTTGATCAAACACTTCGGATGGGACACCGTTACCGCGCTCTCGCAAACAGGCGACATGTATTCCCTGGTAAGTAGGTCGTAAGGAACACGAATGCCGAGTAAACCAACTCCCCGAATTTATCGGGACAGCTTCGAGTTCAGCGGTTTCCCGTCACTTTAATAAACCGCGCACCGGAAATAGCTTGTATCGTAATATCTATCTCTTAACATATATGTCGTGTCACGTTGCGTTTCCCATCGAAACCGTACACAACGTTTTTTAAGTTCGCCTTATCGTCCACCGAGAAATCTCTTAAGGATGTGTATATAATGCTCTTTGCAAAGTCATAAATTGAATCGGCGTGTAATCGACGATATTTTATCATTTTTATATCATGGTTATCAAGAGAGGAAGCATATATAAGAGGGAGAGAAGCGTGAATATGAAATATCATTAATCAGTGTGGATTAGTCGAAAATATTTCCATTGAGAAGTGTGAAAAATTAGCTTGTCTTCGCGCCGGGGAACTCAGAGGTGCTGCAGTTGACGTTAATCGCAATTGAAATTCGCACCGAAAATTCTCTCACTTATATATCCGGTGACGTCGTCGCGTTTTACGGTATCAACATCGGGGGATCGGATGGAGTGGAATCCGATAGCCGAAATACGGAGCAAACGCAGCGCGAGTGGCGGACGATAACGCGGTCGCGGGGAGGGCGGCCGCATTTTCCGCGGTATATTTATCCCTCCCCCCACCCCTCTAGCTTTACCGTAACCGTACATTTAATTGCTAACCGCGCCGCGAAAGTTCGTCCCTGCCCTGTCGGGAGGTGTGACGTGCGGATCCATACAGTGAAGTTTCCGTTGTGCCGGCTTTAATTAACTTTCGATTTGTGTCCCACGCGCAGTTAACCGGAGCGTTCGGCTATCGCACCTATCAGTTAATTCTCGGTCAATTTCCGTCGTGACATTGTAACGGAAGCTACCGCGTATATCCGGCTTTAATGTACGCCGGGAATACGTAATGAATAAAGCCGCGAGAGCGTCGCGCTGAGCGAAACGAGCATTTCGCAACACGAGCGTAGTAATAAATTGGCGATAAGAGGCGATGCACGTTGCGATAGCGTGATGTAACTGTCAAACCCAGAGAATGCCCGAGTGAAACTCGACACGCTATTTCGCACGCCGGGCACTTCCGGGCGAATTTGCCCGCGGTGAAAGTCCGATTCTGACTATTTCTAACGAGACGCGTCAGTCATTCGTCTGAGCGTTCCGCTCGCGGCGTTCCTCTCATGAGCGTCGAGGCGATCGACGGACGCGTCGCCTCTCAGTTTACACCCGCACCTCGTTAAAATGCATACTGTTCCCGAACTGAGCTTACGGCACTTTCAAGATAAACGGTCCTGTATAACCAAACACCCGCGCATGTATTATATATGTATGATCCGAGGAAACGCCGAACACGCGCGCACGACTTGATCCAAATCACGAAAGGTACACACATATATATATATATATATATACACACACACACACCATAATATCCGGCCCGGGAATGCGGAGTACCGACGGCGCGCGTCGCCAATTAAATGGCGCGATAGAAAGGAGGATATTCATGTATCCTTTCGAGGAGAAACGCGGTCGCAATCGTGCAACGAACGAACGAAACGGCGCTATTCTTTTCGGATGACGAGACGGCGGGACTCCTGTCGCGCGCCCGTGACGTACGATGCGTATTTGTAAAGGCGACGTGCGAGAGACACTCTAGCGATTCTCGTCTAAATAGGGCGAGTCGAACAAATAGCACATGCTCCCTCCTCCCCCCACCCCTCCCCGTGTCTATCATTGACCGTCTCCTCCGTCGCATCGCTTCGCACACGTGTATGACGCACCTCTCTGTTTCAGGCAGTGAACGATTTGGTCACGGAACTGGAGCAAGCGAATATCACGTGCTCCGCCACCATCACGTTCGCCGAGAACGATTACAAGGAGCAGCTGCGAACTTTGAAGGTGAGCCGCGCTTAAACGCCGCCCTGTTCTTTCCATCCGTTCTTTTTTTTCTCCTTCTCCCCTCATCCTCTACCTCCTTTTTCTCCTGCTTTTCCTCTGGGCGACTTGACGACGAGCGTTTGTAACGATCGTTCTGTGCAAGTCAGATCCGGCCGGAAGGTCGTGGTTCAGCCGACAGTTCAGCTTCACCGGAATCAGCCGGTGGTTCGGAGCTACTACCGTAGAACACTGTCTTCTGACCGTAATTCGCCCTCCTTTGAAATGCAAAGTTCGTTTTCGCGAACGCCGCCGAAGTATCGATTGGCGCGATACGGACGCATCGGGATTAAATTCGCACTCGCGGCATTAATGTGCGCGAATTAACCCAATTTCTGATCCTGCAAACGAGCGATTCAGCCTCGCGTGCTCCGGAGACGACTGGGGTAAAAAGAAAAGGGGGAAAAAAGTAGAAACGCTTGTTTACATCCATGCCGTGAAGAAGCTCGGAATGGAAATTTCATTTGGATTAACGTGAGACTGCAACGAGTAACGTTTCCAACGCGCATTCGCCGTTCTCGTTTTATATTATTATTATTCTCACTTATATTATTATTATCGACAACCGTGATCAACGTTAATCGGTATTAGCGATATTTTATTACACCGGGACTTCTGATAAAAAGTATACGTTTCGCGTTTAATTACAGGACCTGGACACTAGAATTATCATCGGAAGTTTCTCAACGCGATTGGCGCAGCGTGTTTTCTGCGAGGTAAGTCGTCGCAAAAACAAATTTTAATTAAAGACAGAAAATTAAATATATGAAAATAAAAATATATATTCGAGACGAGCGCGCATTTTAAAAATTATCGTTAGAGCGATATCTCGTTGAATGAGAACGTAAAATTGCCATCGTCGGGTGAACATTTCGTACGGGTTGACGAAGAACAGCAGCGACCGCGTCCTTACGAGCTAATTAATGGCTAATTAATGGTTTTTAATGACTCTCATTACCACTCTTGCAATCCCAGCGAAAAAACGCCCGGCACTCGGCCGCCGTTTCGGTTATCCGTTCATTCCCAAAGTTTTCACACTCCACATACACGCACACCCACATACCAACACGTATACTCACATTCACGGTTAGAGATACTCAGGAACGGAAAACAATTTTACGGTCGCTCTACGTTCGCCAGTAGAATTCGGAACAAGGTTTTTGTCGGTGTGCAAGGTAGAATGTGCAACATGGACAGACAAACCTCCCTCGTTACATTCTCCAAGAACTTCTACGAGCACGTTTTGTTGCGCGCCCAACGCGCTATAAAATCCGTTTAAAAGTTTAACTTGCTGACGTTCATACTTTCGAACATCATTATCTCTTAGCCCGATTAAGTATTCCGTAGCGACGTTATCTATTTTGTCTCTTTCGGAATTACTATTAATGGAGAAAATAAAGGGATATATCCCGCTCTCGCAAGTTCCGTTGTAACCAAATAAGATTTTCTTAAAACCCCCGACAGAGGACTGCGCTCGTTAATATCGAATTCACGCGATCCGACAAGTGCGTGCCAGTGATAAGTGCACGTTCACTCGAAATTTTCGCTAAGATCGACCGATACATTATCGAACTCGAAAATGCGCCTGCGTGTCAAGTGTATCACGCGAACAGCGCGATGAATTTTACGGTAAAATAACGTAGCGTCCGTCACTCGTGCAGCTTGAATTTGCGATCTCTGTATTCAACGATAAGGATTCATTCACATACCCTCTCGTCGATCGGGTCCATCGGATATGCAGTACATCAGCGATTTCCTTTTGAACATCACAAGAGTAAAACGTTCGGCAGCCCCTCCCCGGAGTTTCCGGATTTTACGAGCGCTTGAACGCAGTAGAAGCAGTTTGACCGTGACGTTTCTCTTTTTTTTCCTTTTTTTTTCGCGAGCATCTACAAAACCATAGTAGAAAAAGCCGAAACGCTTCTATGTTCCATTTCGCGAGGCTATAAAATTTTCAACGCGGCTCTGCGACGCCTATAAACCATCGAGTTGGAGAGTTCTTGACTTCTCCGTGGGTCTATTGCGTTTGATCGCCGCGCTATCATTTATCAATCGAATTAGAACAGCCGTTGTTTATTGCGTATATTAAAGTAAATTGTATGTTTGAGGGAAATAAAGGACATCAAATATATCAAATAAGCGCTATCAATAACCATAAGAGCTCATAAACATAAGCACATAATACCGTTACCAAAGTAGGACACAGAGAGTTTACCTTCCCCTCCCCCCGCCCTTCGCGCCACTTCATATCCTCTGTCATTTGAGACCGCGTGCCGCGTTTCGAGACAGGCTTGCACAGTCTTATTTGTCGCGCGAATTTTGAAGTACATATTTGAAGTACTTATCCGGCTTGTGTAGTGATGAACATGCAGATTAGATGCCGGAATACACATGCGAGCAAACGAATTGACGCTATCAATCGCAGGAAGAACTTGGAACGCTTTGCGCAATGAAAGTGCTCGAGCCACGTTGTAATTTAACTCACGTACTAAGTACCTTGGAATTGCGTCTTTATCACACGAATAAGACGGTGAACTGTATTGTGCGATGTGTAAAATTACGATGAATGCAATATATATATATAGTAACCATAATTAAATTGCGCAGAAGAGTGTAAACACGCTGCGTAAAGATGAGATTACTTGAACATTGATGGAGCGAATAAGTATGCCGCGAAGTTATGCAGTTACTATTTAGCAAATATTAAGAAGATGCTGAAAGCTTTCCGCAAACGAGCGCGTTTCATTGTCTTCTTATTGTTACACGCGTATAGCAACCCTTCTTCCCCCGTAGAGATCTTTATAACCGCGATTTTTCGCTTGTGGAATACGAAGCTGGCGTCAGCCGCATAATTCACCGCGAACGTATCTTACGAAACGCTGACAATTTGTCTCGAGTATTTCATGCGAATCCGAAGAGTCGAGTTGAGAAGGGACGCGAATACCGAAAAGTTGCTTAACAACGAAAAGATATTACACGTTTGAGTGTACTTTGTCTTTGTGAAAGGATGAAAAACTTACTTTTAACAATGAAAGCGCCCGTCAGTAGTTAGCAGTTGTTATCCGTCAAACGTTTTCCGCCTGACCTTTGTCCCTTTGTTACCTCAACTTTGGACACTGGGTTCGATGTGTTTTCGATTTACCTCCTTGATTGTCACTTTGCGACGTTAATTGAAGCGTAAAAGAGAGAAACAGTTACTAAGTTTCGCCGGCAACCCTTTGGAGGAGTTATCGAACTCGAGGCTTTTTTCATACTACGGCTCGCGTAGGACACATGTACGTAGACGTGAACGCTAAATTTCCATTTATCTAATTCTTGCGTCTAACACTCGAAGCATTGAGTTGAGATTGTAGACGATTCGTTGCGTCCTAAATATATGTACGCTATTCATCTCATACCACAAATTACTAAGGTTGCAATAAGTTTGTCTATCCCTCTTATCTCTCCGCCTTTCTCTACTCCGACCCTTCGCAGGCGATGCTTTAAATCGTGCTGTTTAGTGTTCCAGGATTTTACGGCTCATTTCCCAGGATCAGCCATGTTGTTTCCACAGCTGCGTACCTACGCGAGATTAACTCATATATCTCGAAATATTCAAAAACTTCCCTCATCTCACCATTACATTTGTAATCTCGTACATAGCACTGTTACTTTCTCATATCCAAATATCATCCAGACATTTTAGTAATATATTAAAAAAAGAAATAAAAAAGAAGAAATCATTTTGTTATTATTTTGTTATTATTAGTGCGCGGAAAAAAGTCTGTGCGTATTAATCAAAAAGAGAATAAGAACCTGGTCTGGTTATAAGAACCAGAAATTCTGTTTCCTTCAACCAGGACGCATCTGGTTGTTCCCTTTCTAGTTAATGCAACCAGATATTTTTTCCATGTATAGTTATTGACCGTTGATTATAATTACAGCTATCATTTTCTTGTCATTAAAAAAAAATATAAGTGATATTAAATAAAAAATATAAATTTTATAAAAATATCACAACCGTCAAAGTAGAGAAGGACGTATCTTTTCGTTCCGTTGATTTGTTTCCGATCGTTTTCGTTCGCGCAATCATAAGTCGCGATGATTCTTGTTCTCATTTAGTGGACACGCATCACACGGTCAAAGGACGGGCCCATTGTATTACAACGCGAATGTGTGTGCGTCCACGTCAGCGTCCAGTGTGTGTGCACGTTAGCATTGAAATATATCGGTTTGCCTCATAGGTTCTCTCGAGTGAGCACGTACATGACGTCTTACGCGAAACACGTGACACCGTAAACGCTGTCACGTACCTATTTCCCTACGGCTGTCGCGATCGCTCCTACGCAAAATTACACCGTCACGCACGAGCATAATTTCACAGATTGTATGAATATTCAGCCGTGATTTGTGTGTGTGACCCACAGAGGACGTCAAAATTACAAGGAACACACCTCGACGTTAACATCAGAATGGAATACTCATATTCGTGAGAAACGTGGACGCTTCACATATGTTACCCCGCAAATGGAGATCCTCGGATGCGGTCCTGAATATCCCTCCTATCAGCCAATTACATATATATATATATATATATATATATATGTAATCCACGCGTGGAAATGAATTTCCGGGTACGCACTTGGGGGACTCGAAGGGAAGATATCTCGAACGACCGTCGGATCGGCGATCCAATAACGCGATCGTCACTGTTCGTAAATAGCTCTTAGATAGTATCGACGCTGGACCACGTTTCCCTTCAAACGACACGTCTGAACGATTATGTGTTCGTGATGTTTAATATTCCTAAGTCACGCTAGCACCGTTTATTAAACGGGGCAAAGCACCGCCTGACTCTCTTACACTATTTCAACGCGGTACTACAGCGGAATAGGGCGCGAAGTGGAGTACGACGACAAAGCGCGAGACCGATATCTCGTGTAGATGTTGGCGAATTGACAGGATTAATTTATTTATGTACTGACAAAATTATTGTACATCGTATATCTAAAAGAATATTAACACGTTCGTTATCAGAGTCATATATATGTGTGACAGCAATAATTTTTCTCTCTGCTCACATATACAGGACGTTCCGCGAATGAACCGACAAACTTCGTCAGCATATTTGGGAAGTCATTTCGAACAAAAAATATTATATAAACAATGAATAAATTCAGCCCCGAGATTATTGAGATATGCGTAACTACTACGATCATCTGACCTATCTCCTTTAGATTTTTTATGGGATTGCATAAAATCGAGGGTGCATTTAAGTGGAAAGCCTGATACACGTGAACAGGTGATAACAAGCATCAATGAAGCTGTTGTTAGTATTAACAATGATCTTGCCGATACTGCGTGGATGAGGTCAATAGAAGCACATCTATTTGCGTGCATAGAGGCATGAAATGCTCATTTTGAGCAATGAACGTGTAAATATTAGTGCAAGATGTCAGTGTCAAATGCAATTTCACGCAATTTCAAATAATTAAGCAGCTTGAACGTCTCTGATTATTTGTGGTTTATACCAATACATCTTTCATATCTCGATTAAATCTGTTTTACACAGACAAAAAGAAAATAAGAAGTGATCTGTGAGAAAAGTTTCTCAAATAAATCGTGACAACGAACGTGTCAATAAATTATTTTGCTTTCTTAGATTTCCTTTTAGAAAAATTTATACGTGTTTTTTGTGAATTTATACGTGTATATGTATTTGCAATTTCTGATATTAAGATAATAATGGCATCTTCTAGCACATAGTATCTTCTTGATCGTTCCGCTTTATATTGGTTGCGGATTATTACAGAACGCAATGTATCAAATATCTTATCGTCTTAGCCATAATCGTAGTCGTTTCATCGTAAAACGCTTTGCAACGGCTACACGAATCGTGGTCTTCGCACAAAATGCAGTTTTTACGACCGACCTTTTATGATAATACAACGAGACCAGAGTCGATTATACATAGTAGGATTAAATATTCCTTCACTCCAGTTCACGCGAGATAATTATTATCGAGTCACGTCGAACACACAGATGGTACGATGGAATTTCCACGTCATGGAGATTTGTCTTTGCGCGTTATGTAACATCCCGTATGCGCAATTTCAATCGCGTTTCTCTCCTCTTTTTTCCCCCCATTTGTGTCAATATTCACCGATGACGCGTATGTACACTCGTTTGCAAAATAGTTTGAGCACTTTTTTTTCAATGCACTTTCGAACGCAGTTCATAGGGGAATCTGTTTTCTCAGTAATTCTCAGAAGATAGATCTTCTTATCGGATCGAGGTTTTCCTGTCGGATGCGTTTCGAGATACGTCGGAACAAAAAGTGTTGAAACAATTTTGCAAGCGAATGTATGTTACGAAGGCACAATTTTCCAGCGGGCGAATCCTCAATCCGTCGATCAATCGAGGAAAGGGGTAAGCCGAAGCGAGGCACGTCGGGGCTGCGGTTCGCCGTGAATCCGTTATCCCGTATTGAGTGACAAGTTGGCTCAGAAATTAACGGATAATATTGTAATTCAGGCATCGGAATCGCGAAGTTGATACACGTGTAAGAATCGATCACTTCAAGGTGGGCTATAACGCGTACTATCAAGCTGCTGTCACGTGTAATTGATACGATTATTAATTTAACAACTGATTAAATCACGTACGATTATCGGAAACGCACGAGCGGAATCTTGATCTCGCGATCTAAATGGCGGGGACGCCGCGAAGATGAAGAAGAAGAAGAAGAAGGGGATGAGATCAAGCTCGTCAATTTTTATCAAATGTTTCTTTCTAACGATCGTGCGAGTCTCTCCCCCCCCCCCCCNCCCCCCTCTCGCTCTCTCTCTCTCGAACGCCGTGTAACTTTCTACTTCACCTCGCAAACCGCGACGTTCCCCTGTATTATTATCGAAAAACCGTATCTTAGGTAAAGCGGAAGCATGCAACTACTTTTCTCGGTCCGCGCCGGATCACAAATAATCCCGGCCATTAAACTGCACTAGCGCCGCACTAGGTAACATTCTTTTATTACCACTTTTAGTACTGTGGCTATGTGTAACGCGCCTGTAACGAACGCGGAAACCTGATTTACGAGAATGCGCGCGCTCAATACTGCTGACGTTTCTTGTTAGACCTTTTAAGAACCGTCAATGCGTTCCTTAATTTTGACACTTACACATCACGTTTATCCAAATATCGCCGTGTGATTATTATTATTATTATTATTATTATTATTATTATTACACGTACAAGAGAGTGTCCCAGACACTGCAACTTTAATCTTATTTAGAGATTCTCTGAGTAACTTGGAGACAATATTTCCTCGAAAATGTCGAGGAAAGTTTATAGCGACTTTTCAATTTCTAACAAAACATATCTTTGTAACCAAGACTCAAAGTGAAAGCAAAGTCCACTTTTTGGTCGAAGATAATAATGTTATCCATTTGGAGTCGTTCGAGGTTTGGTTTGCTGAAAACCCCGCTTTTTTATCGATTGTATCTCGTAAACTATTGATGTCTCGACATTCTCGCCGAGAGAAAATTCACTCTAAATTGCTCAGGGAACCTCTTGGGAAAATTAAAGTCGTACGGTCTGGGACACTATATATCACGAACCTCAATTGTTAACTCCTGCGTGAAGCTGAACAAATTAATTATTAAAACAATGCAAATGCAAATAACAATGTGTACTTAATTTTTTAAGAAAATTTCTAATTAAATAGCTAACTACAATGATAATATTACGCAAATATCTCTACACCGTTTTGAGTAAAATGAATTTCAGTAAAATTGCGACTCAAAATCGAGACAATCCGAGAAAAATCAGCAAACACAACGGAGTTAAATTTTATTCATGATCATTCATGGAGCTCAGATAGAAGATTGGAATGGAAGAGTACAATGGTTTCGGAAATAAACACGGAAAAAGGATAGTCTTAAATTAATAATGAATATTCACATATATAAACAAGAATATTATAATATTCTTAGAAGGTTTTTAATCTTGAATTGAGTGCAAACAATATTTACAATTTCAATCAGAGCAAGATTTGATTAAAATCTTCTAAGAAGATTATAATTCTTGCCTTGTACAAATGTATAGAGATATGAGAATATGTATCTAGTTTCTTTTCCGTGCAGTTTATGCAGTAACAAAGTAAACTCAATTTAAACTATTACTACAACCAGGTCCTTAATTATACTCACAATATACATATTTAATCGCGCTTACAGGCGATTATCGCGTCGTGGGAAGAAATTAATCGATTGTATCTCAAGGCGCGTAAAACAGCGTGATGGAGGAAGCGCCAGCCGGGACGCTCGTCGAGTACAATTTCATAAGGACGACCTACTTCGTCCGCCAACTTGACCAGTAAAGCGAGGAAGCGATATAAAATGCCTCAGGCAAATATTACAATGCTCAAAGTACATCCGGCAAAGTCGTGAAAGCTGGGAGAACGGAAAGAGAATTCTGGAACGGAAGACGAAGGTGCGCCGGAAAGGAAAGGCAACGACCAGACGAAGGGGACACATGACAGGATATATTTTACAAAGACGTCTCGGAGGGTCCGCCTAACCCTCTTCCCGGCGTCATTTCTCATTACACGGAAGATCCAGACTCGTTACGCGATCGTCATAAATATTTTCCGCGAGTGACGCCACAATCGTGTCGACTTTTCCGCGGAGGAAGCTTCGCGATTTTAAAGATCCGTTTGAGGGCGATCGCGCGGATTTTATAATCCCGTTACTTATCGTATCTCGGCGAATCGAACGAGTAAACCGATGCGGTGGCGTATCTCTCTATCTCTCTTTCTCTCGCGCGTCGGGTCTTCCCGAACAATCTTGGCGGACTGTGCAGCCGTCCAGCTATTGATCGCGATAACGTTATATTATCAGCGCAGCGTTGCTCTTTTGCGCCTATTGTCCGCCAACGTACAAAACTTCGGAGTATGTTCCATTTTTTTACAAAGCGCGATTTAACACATTTACTGCTGAATACGAGGTAACTCGTAACCGACCGTGTGAAAAGAATTCTCTATTCCGCACACCAGCTACGAGTTAGTCCGCATAGGTTTTTCGGCGAAAATATATTTTTACCGCGAGTTTTCTGAATAATAAATTAGCGTATTGAAGTAACAGGCTGAATTTCAGATAACAACGTGTCATTATTATTTGACATGATTGTAATAATATTGTAATAATACAATCATATTAATCCTTGCATCAACATTTTGGCGTATAACAACGCATAGGTGTTAAGTTAATTTAGTTACCTTTTTTTTATTCATTTTATTTGTTCATGCTTTTTTTATGTATATTTATGTATATATTACAAATATTTTATCATATTCCATGCCAAACTGTTTTTACGCGACTTTCAATTCACATCGTGTGTACTAAAAACTTATAATTATTTGATTTATGGATTTTGTGAATTGGACAATAATTTATCGTGAAAGTTGAATATTCAAGGTATAAAATGCATAATAGAACAAAACAAATAATTTATTTAAAAACTAGGAAACTGAAAAATAACAAACAAAATATTGTAAAATGAAACAGAATATATTAGAGAAACTACAGCTTCTTTTTACTACGAAACAAATCAAATATAATCTTTCTGAATATTTTGTGTTTATAATCAAATGGTATAGTCGAATGGTATTTTATTGAAACATAGGTGCGGTTTTTCGAGGCAGACTTCATAAAATGTTGTTACACGTTTTGCTTTAGTTCCAGCATTTTCGGTACACAAATTTCTAACATTTTTTTTTTTCTAATATTTTTCTGACATTCACGACAACGCCGTGCATACTGAAAATGGACCGTAACAACTGAAAATTCATTACTATGCCATGTGTATCGAAATCGGCCCCCGGCTTTAACCTTTTCGCGACGAATGGCCGCTCGCGAAATTGTATCTGTATAGGAATGGCCACTATGGCCGCTCACAAAACTCATATGTGTAAGAATTGCTATTAATGATAAGAGTAAAATCGAAATGAAAATTAAAACATGATAAAAGTACGAATAAGTGATAGGATAAATTATTTTACTGTACTTTATCTCTTCATGACAAAAATATCACTTAGAGTGGAAATCGAGTGCAACGTGTACGGAAAGTGTTAAATACTGTTTTTAAAATCATCACCGTTATTATCTACCGTTGCTATTCCTTTTTTTATGTCCTTACGCCATTTTATATCACTTTCATATTATTACTTTTTCAATATAACAATTTTCATCTTATTTTATTATGTAACTCAAGAGTATCCTTCCTATTAATAAGTGATATAAGTGGCAAGCTCAGCGTGTTCATCTGGGAATTGCGCGGAGAATTGAGCGATTCAAACGGCCAAAATCCACCTCTCATGAACCACCGTCTTTCTTTTCTCGTCGCAGGCTTGGAAACTCGGGATGCACGGCGGCGATTACGCGTGGATCTTGCCAAGCGACACGATCGACTTGTCGGAGATGACGGGCGATTGGTGGCACGCCGGCGTGGGAGAGTGCTCGCCATCTCAGCTGTCGCAAACTCTGGACGGTTTAATCATCGTGAAGAGCCACGCCACGACCGTGGGAGACGAGATCAGCGCGTCCGGATTGGTACGTTGTATCTTTGCCCCGAAATTCCGGTCGCGTCGGACGCAAACTTCTGAAAAAGGTGCGCCCCCGACAGCGGCCGGACCTGTCGATAAAAGACCCGCGTCGAACTAATGTGTCATACGCGCGAAGTGAAGTAATTTAAACGACACGTGCAGCACAGGCCCGGCGAGTTCCTCGCGCATTCTTTGATCTACGTGCCCTTTGATCAATCTGAAGTCGATTTTCCCCGGGGCGAAAATTGCATTTAACGCTTTAATAACGTCCGCTCTGTTTACACCGTTTCAATGAAGCTCGCGGGACACGCGGGAATTCGATCGAAAAGGAAAATATAAAAGAAGAAGAAGAAAAAAGGGAGCGGAAAGAGGGGAGAAAAAAATTGACGGTCGTTCTGGCCATTACTGCTAACGACAGCGGTAATTGCAGAATTCTGCGTCCCATAAACGGAAGCGAAGACGGGAAGCTTGATCGCGGGACTGTTGCAATAATAACACCCCCCTGGCCATTGCCGCCGCTGCAGCGGCAGCAACCTAACGCGTAATAAATGAAGTCCCGCGAGCGGAAATTAGAGTATGCAGCTGCGAGAAGAAAGCTGCGAGGTCCCGCGCCGCGCTATATAGAGAGACGCGAGATTCACCTTCCATTCTGTTCCATTAAAGGCCCGTATGGCAAACGTCAAAGTAGAAAGAGAGACGCAGGGGTCGGACGGGCGGCGTGGAGCGCCGCCTTTCACACGTTGAGCCTTCTACAGCTCCGGGTAATCAGTCTAATGACGAGCCGCCATAATCGACACTCGCGCGTCAAAGTTGCCGTCGATTTTCGAGCACTCTCGGAAATAACAACGTCGCGAAAATAGACGACGCCTCGCGGGGGGGCTGCCGTCGCGCGGATTGTGTACGTCGCATTTTTCACGTCCGACCGACGTCTTCCAGAATACGTTTCCAATATAGATGTCTGTCCCGGAGCGCACTGCCTCGCTCGCCGATATCGTTATGAATAATTTCACGCCGCCGTGTATCCCGTGTAATTCTCTCGTCCTACCCGCGATGATAAAAATATAAGAGCGTTTCATACGCCCGGACTTTTACGACGCTATTAATAAGCGCGAGTATGAATAGAGGGAGCGCAACCTTTTTGGATAACTGACGTTGGAGTGGGAAAAAAGGCGCTATTAGCGAGATTGAAAAAAAAAAACAAACAAACAAACTGCTACTGCTAATTACGCTATTCACCGGGAGTACCGAGTACTGAAAATCCTCCTCCTGGCGTAGGAGCGAAGCGTTCTAATTGATCGTAAGTCACAGTCGCACGTGCCGCATCAGGATTTTAATTAGCGGCGTTTATATGTGAAGCAGCTAATTTGAGATTCCTTCGGAAGTGACGGCGCGACTTTCCCGGCTCGAGAAGACGCGGCGTGGCTTAAGGTTCTCCCTTAGCGTTCCGCAAGTTCAACCGCTGAAGAACTATTTCAAGTATCCCGAACAACAAGGAGGCAAGATTCGATGTTACAATTTTCCTCTTCGACGCACAGCTTCTCGAAGTTCTCCGTGGCGCGGGACGGAAAATTATAAATACGAGTGTACACTGCGAGACGCGCGCTCCGCCGGATGAACTTAGCGCGATTGCAGGCTTGAACATACTAATTGCGTGTTAATCTGTAATAAAGCGCGACTTGTATAATCGCCCGATTTAATTCGCCAGTGGTAAGGTCCAGAAACGAAAGTCTGCCGCCTTTGTAGTTGCCGCGCGCGAATTGCTTTCGACTAATATCATCGGGCCGCGACATTCGTCGATTCAATTTGCCGATCCGCGCGTTTTACATCAATTCAAATAGAGATAACATTATTAGAGACTGTAGTTCGTTCTTTTCGCCTGAATATCGTGGAGAAAAGAATTAGTTTCCTTGGCTTAAAACTAGCTGTTCATATAATACAACTAAAATTTAATCACAAGACTTAGTTTTCAGCCGTGGAAAACCAACTCTTTTTTTCCGTGTACGCACAGAAAGATATTACTTATAATGCAAAGGAAAGCAATTAGTTTATTCTTCTTTTTAAGTAATGGTTGTCTTGAATGAAAATTACTTTCTTGATAATAGTATTAAAATAGTATTGAAATATATTCATCACAAATAGTAGAAAAGTTCGTTATTACTCACTCAAGAAAAGAAATCGTTCTCTGTGTACAATTATAGTCATAGGAATTAGCTGCCACAGCTAAAAACTATATCTGCTGACTAAAATTTAGTTATATTATATAGACAGATAGTTTTTAACTATGGCAGCTAATTCTTTTTTCTTCCCGAACTTACCTGTCTTAATACACTGGCAAAGCGAAACGTCACATTAACGGGAAATGAAACTTCCCCTTTCTCCACACATACATACGCACACTTACTAGCGCGCGCGCGCGCGCGCCTATCGAATCTTTCTTTTTTTTCCCAAGCGAACAGAACACGTTGGTGTGAACGACAAATTAAATTAACGTTCGCTCGGCCGTCGATTCAAACGCCACCGCTTTCTCCGCCTCAATTTTTTTTTAATTATACAACGGGACTCACGCGAACGAGCGTTTCGCGAGACTATCCGGCCGGTGTCCGTTCGTTCCGTCAGCCCGACCGACCTTCCCTTCGTTCATTTTGCAGACGAGCGAGAAATTCACCTCGGACCTGGCTAATAGAGACGTCGCGAACTCGAAATTCGCGGGGCAAACATACGACGCCGTGTGGGCCATGGCACTCGCCCTCGCCAGCACCGAGGTCCTCCTGAATCGACAGAACGAGAGCATGGCGCGGTACACGCACACGAGGAAGGACCTGGCCTACCGTTTGCTGGAGCAGCTTAAGCTGCTGCACTTTATCGGAGTTTCGGTTAGTCGGTCGAAGGATAAGTAAGGCACCGAGAGAGCGCTCGTTTATTACGCACGCCCGCGGGAAGCCACGAGAAAAGTACAACCAGCCTCTCGCAAAGAGCCGAGCATGTAGGACATCACGCGGCCACCCGCATCCTTTCGTCTGCAGATTCTTTGATTAGCGTAGTAGAGTCGAGATTTTTCATAGTGGAATTTTTCCCTTTAAAATTCCCTCTCTCCTTTCTCTCTCTCTCTCTCTCTCTCCTCGGGGCACTAACGTCCCCGAAGTTTGCCCGATCAAGGATGAAGCGATTTTGACAAGTTAAGTTTAAGGTCGAGCCATTACGAACGATAACTGCAGCCTTTTCCTCTCCTCGACCGGGCTCTCTTTCGGAGTGAGGAGGGTCTTCATAACGCGCGTTCTTTCCCGAACGAAGACGACATAACGACGCCATTAATTCGGCTAACGTTGAGTAAACGCGCGCGCGGTCGCAGGAGGTATACGCGTTTAATAATAATGAAACTCTAATTGCCTTTTATATTTTATGACGCGATTTCAGCATACGGAGCGGCCTCGCGACGCTCGGTTCACGTTGTACGCTTATTCTCCTTGTGTTCGCAGGGCCCGGTTTCCTTCGACGACGCGGACCGCGTTGGTATCACAGCGTTTTATCAGATGCACGGTAAGTTCAACGAAATCATCCGGGAACCATCGATGTATGTCAACCTGGCGAAACAATTTCCCCCTCGTGCACCGGCAACCTCGTATATTAAGAAAAGATTTGGTAACAATTGCCATGGTATGGTTGAATAATTTCAATGAAATTGTTTGGTCGCAGCCAAATCATTCAATACCATATACTTGTATGAAACATGATACTACGATATAGTATGTGGTGCTAAATGATTTGGTTGCAGCAATCAAACAGTTTACTTGAAATTATTTCATCGAGTCTCGGTAATTGCGACCAAATCCTCTTTTCAGTGTAAAATCAGCGATAAAATATCCAAATCCCGCAACCTGATTGGCACAGACTAATGCAGTATCGAAGGACGATTGGTTTAGCGACACTTGGCGCGATGAACGCCAATTGTTGGTACGAATCGAGGCTTCACTGACGAATCACTGGCGCATTTCACCCGATACTCTCTTTCTCTCTCTCTCTCTCTCTCTATCTATCTCTATAGCTGGACTTCACGCTTCATTCGCTCAGGTCCACTGTCAACAACAGCGTGGAACGCACAATGAGCAAGAGTTTACGCCACGGAACGCGATGAAACGATACAGTCGGGCCGAAAGCGCTGACAATGGCTCGTTTCTAACGATGCGGCATATCGTGTATCCCTCTTGTTGGGAATAACTGGCGCGTGGACTCGCACGGATAATCCAATTTGTGAGTTTTCCTGTGTCTGCGAGCCGCTGTACGCCGCCTGGTATCCGCAAATACGAGCTGTTTACGGGCATTTCCGCGCCGAGCCTTCAGAATCTCGATCCGCAACGAGACGTGTGATCTCGCATCAAAGCGTCCTCACGAGCGTACGCGCGCGCTTCTCTCGAAAGCGCGATCCTTCTATCGCGAATCACTTTGCACCTCGACGTAGCGCAAGATCGGCGATATGATCCCATGAAACGAAATTATTCATCCTTTGCTTCGGTATGAAAAGCCCGAAAGATCAATCCCGCCTGTCATCGAAGGCTCGCAAATTGAGCCGATATGACATTTTTGCGAGAGGCGATCTGTATCGAGGTGTCTCATGCATTTAAATGAACGCCGACGACAATTACGTGCCGTTTCCGGCAGCACCCATCGAGCGATACACTTAGGCGTGAAATTCGTCGCTCACTGCTCAGTTTGTACGTCCGAGTGTAAAAATGATACGACGAGACGAGTTCCCCGTCGCGTCGTCGCTGGGCTGAATAAATATTTTTAATTGGCGCACGTGGACACACGGTGCGTGTCTACCGGCGATTTCATGAACCAAACCGGTGCATGCATAAACAATCATCAAAATTATGCGGCAACGAGTCACAAAGGCAACACGCACGCATGTCGCGCGAAAAAACGCACAAAAATCCCGGTCTTCTAATTTCAACGGGGCTCTCGGACACGTCGCTTTTTTCTCATTCGCGGTGAGCAAAAATCGTCGTGTGTAAAAATAATCGCGCACAGCGAGACAGCGGAAACGCTACGCGCATTAAATTAAAAATTAAAGCCTTCCCTTTTATCGTTAACGCCACGTTAACGCGCTGCCGTTGTTGCGCTTGTTCTGCAGTACCCGTGAGGTAATCTAGAAAAACATTAGCGGGGAACGTGTCGCGATGCTCCGCACACCGACCGTTTCCGACGATCATTTTCTACCCTCCGGTCAGTTCCTCCCCCGCGTTTCATCTTTCCTCGCAAAGTATGTCCGCGCACGCGCGTGTTCCGAGCCGGAAATTGAATTTGTTAACATTGTCGCACCGTGACTTAATTGCAGACCGCGTGAGTGTCACCGTTTCGGCCCTGCGAGTAAAACCTTTTCCGATGCACCGCGCGCACAAATAGTATTACCCGTATTTTACCGTGTGTATCGGAAGGGCGCAAAGGGATCCCGGAATGCACGCCGCGGTAACCGGCCCGCATTTTTATTTCTATTTTCCATCACGGAGATAAGCTATTTTTTCTCGTTTTATCACTTTTTTTTGCGCCGCTGCGCTTTCTTTCTCTCTCTCTCTCTCTCTCTCTCTCGTGAGAGTTCCTTTTTTATTTGGTTCTCGCGTGACTTGATATATTATGCCGCTCGTATTCGCGGTATCGTTGGTCCGGGCCCTTCACATATCGTTTCTGTAAGAACGATATCGTCGTGTCCTCTTGAAATATCGCACGGCCAAACGACGGATTTATTATCTCTTATTTATCGCAGATTTTTATTTATTAACCGGTGAGACCCGCCGAGCTCTGCCGTGCGGCGCCACGGCAAATTGGCGTGAAAACTTCCTGCGAAATTTCCATTCGTATCCCAGAAGCTTCTAAGAGGAAATCGCGTAGACTTCCAGCAACTCCCTGACTCGACGTAGCTCGACTACTGTGCGACTTGCCTAACTTCGTTCGCGAAACTGGCATTGAATTATAAAACTGAGCGCCTCTCGCACTTAAAATCGCGATCAGACGTCTTTCTCGCGCATCGTACCTATCTACATTGAAATCTTATTTCGTCCCCCCCCCCCCCCCCCCCCCCC